CTAAATAGCTTGAAATAGATCTATACTAGTCTCCCTTTATTTATTTATCAGCACAAATAAAAAAAACACAGAATACATCTTTGTATATATTTTATACTATTAATCAGAATTTTTAAAGCATTGCATCAGTTTAACAGAATTTAAAATAGCATAGATTAACAACTGGATCAGCTATTTTATTACAAGATACAGTTTATCTCTATTGCTTGGGCGTCTAAATCTAATTGCTCTCTTCTCATTTGCAGGAGTCCTTCTATGTAGCCAAGAAGGCCTTCAGACAGTTCAAAATGCGTGTTAGGAAGACCCTGGCCCTCAGTTACTCAGGGTCTGAACCACTTGAAGATATGGTGATGGAGTATATAATTCGTCAGGAAGATCTCTATGATGTTCAGTCCAGCGTCAGTGTAAGTCTGGGCCAAAGTTATATTGCTCAATAAAACACTGCTGTTTTTATAATGGGCATCTTCCTAGTAAGCTACAAAGACAATTCCATACAGACCGTTTTACAGTATTCCAACCTTACTTTTGAGAGCACCAGTCATTGTTGTCAAGATATCTTCCCTGAGAAGAACCACAATTGGCGTATCAGACAAGACTGACAAAATCTCTCCCAGCTATGGCCTCCACTGCCACTGGATGATAACTTCCCACAGATGGATGCCAGTATGTTGATGTGAATTGGGGGGGGGGGAGAGTTTAGGAAGCCACTTGGTCTTAACATAGTCATTCCATCATTTTGGGTTCCAGTCTTAAATGGCCTATCTGCAATTGTTACTTTTGGGGGGAGGGGGGGTAATTCCCAATTATTTTTTTCTAGGAAATAACCGCCCATATTTTTATATGTTTTCAGGAAGTCATCTGCGCTCTGAACATCAGCCCTAAGATTTCTCTCCCAGGCGTTGATTTCATCATGATCAGTAGCTTGATACGAGAGTTATGTCGGATAGCTTTTTCCATGCAAACTTTAGATCCGCCCCTTGACGTTTCTTTTGGTACAGATGGAGAGCTGTTCAGCGAGTACAAGTAAGGGGAAAAAACCAGGCACGTTTTGCATACCTAATCTTAAAAAAGCAAAAAGATGTGGGAACACATTCACCTCCCTGAACAGAGATGCAACCAATTAAAAACCACACTCAACCAGAGGTTGGCTGCTGGGGGTTTGCAGGGGTGGGTGGGAGAACCTCTAGCTAAGTTTCTGTGCANCAAAGAAGAGGGAGTCAAGCTATTCTCCAAGGCACCTGAGGGCAGAACAAGAAGCAATGGGTGGAAACTAATCAAGGAGAGAAGCAACTTAGAACTAAGGAGAAACTTCCTGACTGTGAGAACAATTAGCCAGTGGAACAACTTGCCACCAGAAGTTGTGGGTGCTCCATCACTGGAGGTTTTCAACAAGAGATTTTTACAGCAACTTGTTTGAGATAGTTTAGGGTCTCCTGTTGGAGTAGGGGGTTGGACTAGAAGACCTCTGAGGTCCCTTGCAGTCCCATGATTCAGGCAGGCAGGCAGGCAGGCAGGAAGGACATGGATGGAAATTAATGAAGGAGAGAAGCAATCTGAAACTTCCTGACGGTGAGGACAATTAACCAGTGGAACAGCTTGCCACCACAAATTGTGGGTGCTCCATCACTGGAGGTCTCCTGCTTGAGCATGGGGTTGGACTAGAAGACCTCCAGGGTCCCTTCCAGCTCTGATATTCTCTTATTCCTGTCTGCTTTGAAGGGTTCAGCTTCAGCCCCAAAGGGGGCCTGACCCCCTCTGCAGTGCAGGGTGAGACCTTCTCCCTTGTCCGTGGAACCCTGCCCTGCCCCATGTCAATCATACTGGACAGATGGGGGGGGGGACAGGAAGAGACAGCCGCCTTCTCATGACTCCAGGAGCCTATCAGCCAAACTGCTTGCATCCTTCAGGCTAAGATCCAACCGGGATCAATATTCCGTTCAAAATAACTCAGTCTGGAAACCCCTGATTAGCTTTGTGGCAGAGCAACCGGGGACGGCAGCCGGCAGCCGGCAATTGTGGTCCGAATGGAGATGCCAGTTGGACGGATGAAACGGCTCCTGCTTCTCTTTCAGTGGGTAGCAAAGAGGGCCCAGAGGGTGGGTTTCTTTCTTTCTTTCTTTCTTTCTTTCTTTCTTTCTTTCTTTCTTTCTTTCTTTTTCTTTCTTTTTGTCCTTCCTTCCTTCCTTTCCTTCCTTTCTTTCTTTCCCTTCCTTCCTTTCTTCTTTCTCTTTCCTTCCTCTCCTTCCTTTCTTTCCTTCTTTTTCTTTCTTTTTTCTTTTCTTCCTTCCTTCCTCTCCCTCCTTTATTTCCCTTCCTTTCCTTCCCTTCCCTTCCTTTTTTCTTCTTCATTTTCTTTCTTTCTTTTTTCTTCCTTCCTTCCTTTCTTTCCCTTCCTTCTTCTCTTCTTTCTTTCTTTCTTTCTTTTTTCTTTTCTTTCTTTTTCTTTTCTTCCTTCCTTCCTTTCCTTTTTAGCCACCCATTTTATGTGCCAAAACTTTGCACTGTTGACACCAACACTGGTAACAGCCTACAAGCAGTTGTAAAAACCCAGCATTTTCAAAAGCTGCTGAAGCCATTTACCCACAGTGTAAATGTTGCCAAGTGTGAAGACCTCTGCTGTACAGAAACTTTAAGGGGGAGCAAATCTTTTTCGCTTCTCACATCTGCAGGAAAGAAATCATGGAGGAAGTCATCCTAGCAGTGATGAAAAAAAAGGGAGGGGGGAGAGAATTCATCAATAAATACACTCTATAAAAAGTTCACCCCGCATGTTAAAAGAAAAAGGGAGAATACTGCACCATTACATCTGGAATAATGAAAAAAAATGAATATTAAATATTTTAAAATATGAGAGCGACAGCAAAAATCAAACCTCTTTTGGTCTATACTTTTGATTTATACTTGCAGCAAATCAAACCTCAAAAAAGGATAAGGAATTAAGTGAGCAGTCTGAATTTGCAAGATATGCTACGTCCCTAAAAGCTCATCAAGGTTCACCCGAATGAATCCAGCTTCTCGTGGAGTCTGAATCGTTCTTCTGCTGGGATTTTAACCTTGTTAAAACGATTGTGAGGATTGTGGCACCCGGCCTGTGAAAACCAGCTTGTCCTTTGTTTCCCCCCCTCCCACAAGGTGGCAGTCATGTGTCACTGATGTGTGATGTACACATGAGGAGGTGTGTGAGTGCACATGTATGCACCTTGGCTTCTCTCCTTTCGCCCCAAAAGATAGCAAGGGGCCTTCTCTGCTTTATCATTGCATAGCGGATAGGATCTCTCCCCCCCCTCTCTTTTCTCTTTTCTCCCTCCTTCCTCCCTCCCTCCCACTTTCTTTCTTTCTTTTTCTTTCTTTCTTCCTTTCTTTCCTTCTTTCTTTTTTCTTTCTTCCTTTCTTTCCTTCTTTCTTTTTCCTTTCCTTTCTTTCCTTTTCCCTCTTTCGCTCCTTCTCTCTCTCTCTCTCTCTCTCTTTGTTTCTCTCTTTCTTTCCTTCCTCTCTTTTCTCTTTTCTCTCTCCTTCCTCCCTCCCGCTTTCTTTCTTTCTCTTTCTTTCTTCCTTTCTTTCCTTCTTTCTTTTTCCTTTCCTTTCTTTCCTTTTCCCTCTTTCGCTCCTTCTCTCTCTCTCTCTCTCTCTCTCTCTCTTTGTTTCTCTCTTTCTTTCCTTCCTCTCTTTTCTCTTTCCTCTCTCCTTCCTCCCTCCCGCTTTCTTTCTTTCTCTTTCTTTCTTCCTTTCTTTCCTTCTTTCTTTTTCCTTTCCTTTCTTTCCTTTTCCCTCTTTCGCTCCTTCTCTCTCTCTCTCTCTTTGTTTCTCTCTTTCTTTCCTTCCTCTCTTTTCTCTTTCTCTCTCTTCCTCCCTTTCTTTCACTTTCTTTCTTTCTCTCTTTCCTTTTCTTTCCTTCCCTTTTTTCTTTCTCTTTCTTTCTTCCTTTCTTTCCTTCTTTCTTTTTTCTTTCTTCCTTTCTT